TGATTCCTGACTTGGATTCTAAACTCAACGTGCTCGGCAGCATGAATAACTTGGGCATTATTCGCTGCAACATGCACACGAGCTATCGTTTCACCATGACCATCAACATAGGACCAAGCTCAAGGATGTGTGTGCAGTTGTCGCAGCATCGTTGTGCAGAGCGGAACAGTGACATTTAGTTTAGGCTGTATCCATCTAATTTGATTTGGATATGTCTAATTTAGCCGTTTGTCAGAACTCTATGCCACTTCAATATTCACGAAAAGCAGCGTAGCCATCATGGCAGCATCTCCGCCAGCTCTGCTATCGAGCCGACACCGGTGCCCAAGGATCATTTTGCACTCGTTGGTTGTCGTCGTCTCGGTGTTCTTGGTGGCTGCCGTCTTGCTCCACAACTCTGTTTTCTCCAGTCGCTTGTTGCCGAATTCGTCGCCGCTTCTGCGACACAAGACGCCCTTGATTGTCTTGCTTGGCGACTCCATTACAGAGTACGGAGCGAATCCCCGGCTAATGGGGTACGCATCGATGCTGGCCAACGACTACGTCCGTCGTGCCGACATCGTCAACCGCGGCGCTGCTGGTTGGACTTCACGAAAATGGTTGGAACATTTCCCCTCCATGATCCAGGACTGGGGACACAACCCCCCCGCCTTGGTGTCCATAGCGTTGGGCGCGAATGACGCTGCTCTCGAGAGTGATCCCGTTCACGTCCCCGTTGATGAATACGCGTCCAATCTGCGGGACATGGTTCGCCAGATTCGCACTGCATTCCCGACGTGCATGATCATGCTCGTGACTCCGCCCACAGTCGACGATGCCACATGCATTTGGCCCAGATCCAACGAACAGGCCGGAGTGTACGCCCAAATGTGCGTGCAGGTTGGCGCGGCGCTGAATGTCTCTGTCGTCGATGTCTGGTCGGCATTCCTTCACGAAAACCAGCAGAATCGCACCACTGTCCTGCATGTTCCGGATGGACTCCACTTGAACGGTCCAGGCAACATGCTCCTGCACGACCTTTGGCTAGCCCAAGTGCATCTCGACATGCCACAGCTCAGCCCCCGCCACTTGCCCATCGTGTTCAGCTGAGCAACCGATTACGCCCCAAGTTCTTTGACTACAGCAGCCATAACCCAAAGAGCTCAACACGTGTCATGCCTGTTTCAGCAGCGATGCCGCGC